TTCCCATCAGCAATGGAGGACTCTCTATGAACTGCGCTCATTCCCATCACCAATGGAGGACTCTCTATGAGCCGAGCTCATTCCCATCACCAATGGAGGACTCTCTATGAACTGAGCTCATTCTCATCACCAATGGAGGAATCTCCATGAACCGAGCTCATTCTCATCACCAATGGAGGACTCTCTATGATCTGAGCTCATTCCCATCACCAATGGAGGAATCTCTATGAGCCGAGCTCATTCCCATCACCAATGGAGGACTCTCTATGAACCAAGCTCATTCCCATCACCAATGGATGACTTTCTATGATCTGAGCTCATTCCCATCACCAATGGATGACTCTCTATCAACCGAGCTCACCAATGGAGGACTCTCTATGATCTGAGCTCATTCTCATCACCAATGGAGGAATCTCTATGAACCGAGCTCATTCCCATCACCAATGGATGACTCTGTATGAACTGAGCTCATTCCCATCACCAATGGAGGACTCTCTATGATCTGAGCTCATTCCCATCACCAATGGATCAATGAAGAACAATGAAGTGCAGCAGCCAAATATCAACCTCATAAAACGGTCTATTGATGAAAGAGAAGTCCTCATTGCCAGTGTGTCGCCCACGTATCACCATATTTGTCCACGGATCGACACGTGTAGCGTGTCATTTGGATGCGTGTGTCGTCTTTGTGAGTGAGTGTCAGGATCCGGATCTATACCCCGGGGGCCTCTGCTGTGTCTGGCGGTGGCTCTACCCGCTGAGCCACTCTGAAACCTTGGATAGCTCCTTGCCTGCTCTCATGCGTAATCCTCAGGTACACCCAGTTTCTGCTGAACTCCTCGCTCCTCCTCCTATTTAGGCCACGCCTCTGCACTTCCTGTTTGCCGGATTATTGTGCTCCTGCATATATCTCGCTTCCTGCTCGCTCTTGTGATACAATCCTCTCATACTGCTTCCCGTGTGCCGACCTTTGGCTGCTGATTCACCGACTACTCTCATCGTCTTCCGCTTCATACCTGATACCATTGGCTCCTGACCTCGGCTTGATCTCTGACTACGCTTCTGCCCGCTCCCATACTACTACCGTCTGCTTGTGTACCGAACCCGGCCTGTCTGACTACGGATCTGCCTGCTGCTTCAGCTACTGGACTCTGAGCCTGATCCCGGATCGTGACAGTGAGGGATCATGGTACTATAATTTTTTTTTTTTTTAATATACTTTTATTGTTATTATTATTTCATATCAACACAATTATACCGATTTCATTATAAATAAACACATTCTAATTAACAAACATCTAAGACATTACTTTCACTGACGGACATTACCCAATCCTACGCATTACCTTCCTTCCTCACTCATAACTCAATCTTCCCTCCTCTACTCTCTTCCCACCTTCCTT